AAGATCTGTGGTACTTCATCAAAGTTGGATCGGGCACTTGCACGGAAACACTTGGATGATTCCAGCGCAGTGGCAGCATATTTAAGCTGCACTACATACATTCCGGGTGCGATATGCTCCCCGCACCGTTAGACCGGAAGGTTGGCGTCAAGCAAACGCTTACATACCGATACCAATTTGGCCTCGACCAGGGTCTGCGGCAATTTCTTTCAATATTTCGCCAATAGACACTGTAAGCTTGGAGAATAAAAATGTGCTGTAAATCCCTTGCCACTTGTTTGTACCAGTGTCCGCGTGTACTGATTCGTGCGCGAACGCGCACCAGTACTGTAAACGTAGGGAAGTGGCCCAGGTGCAGTAGCGGGAGCATCAAATTAAGATCAACTCGAGTCCAAAGATATGACAGGGTATAAAGCCATAGTATTTACATCGGTCTTCGTACTACTTACCCCGTAAGCTAGGGGAGCCGTGTAACTACGTGTTGGACCCGGTCAAGTCTCTGCACCTCACCTATTGTTATCGCGCAATACGCGGGAGAGCCTTACTCAAGCACGGGTCTAATTATGGAAAGGAACATGCATATGGTAATCTCTTCAGACCACTTCCAGGAGCTGTGTCTAAGTGCCGAAAGCAGACGTAATCAGTTTGCGTACCGTCTGCTCGTGTTGTGGACACACTTCTCTTCATCGCTTGTGCGAAGACCTTGATCCTTTAGGGAACCGCTGGGGTTCAGCGACTGGCCAGCCAGGATGTACGCACACATATTACTGCCTTACCCCAGGCTCATAACCGATGACTAGTTCGTGTTCACCGGTAGGACAACTTGTGTGTAATGATTCCCAGAGCATGCGTGTTCGACGTTGCGCCTAGTCTAATGGCGTAGGTAAAACACTTGTACAACACAAAGAAGCAATGAGCAGGCTTACATATAACTGATATATTAGTGGAAAGAAAATTATGTATTTGCTGAGGCTGAGGTTGCATTCAGGATACTGTTGCACCGCATCTAAGCTAAACCGACTTAAAATTAAGGTAGATCTTTTTAAGCTGGATACATTTCACTCCAATTTGATTGGTTTGTTCGGCCTAACCGAATATTCTTCTATTAACATACACACGTTGCTTACGCCAATTGCGTTTATCTTCCTTTAAATTTCGCAATTGTAGCAGTTTTAGTCACTTGTGTACATTTTGTACTTATCGCGGATTTAATGCTAACCAACCCACTTCATGGGTTAATGTAGCGGAATTTTATGTCTGCATAGGCGTAAGCTTCATCGGTTATATATTTTAGTAATGTTAATTCAAGTGTTTGGCTGTTGCTTGATATCCCATGTGTGAATGCGCTTGATCTGCATATTGGCAAAATGCCTACCAGTCTAATACCAACTAACTCGTCCATACTGGATCCAGGATAAAGCCATCTCTGCAGGGGACGTGGTGAACGATTCTTGTGAACGTGCTAAGCTCGATGAGTGGTTCCATGCACTCCGTGTGCAGCAGACCACGTTCCGGCCACCACCTTGTGCACGACAGTTTCCCAAATACAGCGTGCTTGTGTTTTGTCTGTGAGGGAATGCGAGTCTGCTCCGTTGCTGAAACGTAGTTCCCATCCATATGCCGCTCTGTCTTATACCTTTGGGTTTACACTGGATATGGGGTGCTGAGATAGACCTGTGTGTGGTGCAGTGCAAGCCGTTCATGTCCATTTGTAAGCGCAGACATCCTGAGGCTGCCCACGTTGATAGAAAAATCAGAAACCGAAAACCGACAAAAATAAAGAAAAATATAACAACAAAATTGTACGAAATATGAGAAAACGAGGAAAAAGAAAAATAATAAACAAAAATGAATAAGTCAAAATATTTGGCCATACTTTATAACGCTGCAGTGCATGTTCCAAATATACATAAAAGAAAAATGTTAAAAGCCAATGTGTTATAAATACTGGAATTAATGACAAAGTCAAGAGAATGATTTAGCAAAAATTTAACCGTATTGATGAAAAAGACATTAATAACGCGAATAAATGAGTCTTACTCAACCAATTCAGTAAGACCGTAAAAAGATATAGGTTGCGATATGTTAACATTTCGATTGCTCTACTCAAGCGCTACGCTATACAGGCAAAACAAAGCAAGCAACATATAAGGTCCAATCTTAGTAACATAGCTAAGCAGATAAAACTGATAAGCATGACGTAATCAGTTCCAGGACATTCCAATTGCTTGCCGCAATAGTTTCTGGGCACAGAGCACGGGACAATACAAACTTATCAGTAGCGCCTCGCCAATTGCCAAAAACCTCTTGTTCTTGTTGCGCAAAAGCAACTTGAATGAATCGATTGGGTTCACCTGGCGACGGGTCGCCATGAGGTGTTTGGTGATAGTCTAGGCCGGGATACCAGTTCATTATTTGGTCCGCTCCGCCTTCGTTAAACAGCAACTGCCTTAGCCACACTGGGAAGTGTTCCGCCATCCTTTGAGCCAGCCCATGTAAGTGTCACCGCAACCGCAAGTGAACTGATAGATGACTTCAGAGACTGAACTGATGGGCGAATTACTCGAACGGTTCTGGAGAGAAATACTTCGTGCAGTGTGGATAAGTCGTAGTTGACCGGTTGAGTGGACGCGCGTTAGAGCGGAACGAGGATATTATCTACCTAACATCTGTAATGCTTGGCTTCATCTATGCAGGCAGCAACTCTGCTTTTAGTCATTCCCAAAAATTTATCTGCCAGAAATGGTCTCAATGACTACCCATAGCGACGCCGTCAACCTTTCTGTAGGCCGTCCCTTCAAACCGGAATCGCACATTCGCAGTGCACAAAAATATCCAACCTCGCAGGTGCTCCGACGGAAGGCCCACAGAGAGGTTCCGGCTCAAAAGAAATTGGCATTGGTGGTCGACCGTTTCACGCAGGAGCAAACTCCTGGCAAGCGAATTCAACTATAGGGAATACATGAGCTTGGAGTCCAGTGTTGTTCGTTCCAATATATTCGCCAATTCAAATGAATCGTTCAAACAATGCGTGCCAAGAAGCTAACGCACGTGTTCTAAGATCTTCGCCAACCACCGGGCTAATTTTGGTAGGGTGAGTTATTCATACACATTATTGGACATAGCGGAATTCCCGCCTTGTGCAACTTCGGCGCAACCCTCATCCTTGGTGTTTTCGTCCCCGTCGGTATTAGCTGTCGGTATGGTGCCTAGGAGATAAATCCATGAAGCAACAGAAGTTGCAGATGCCCTGCAGTTTGTTTCTTCACCAATATATTGTTGTCAAGCGACATTTCAAACGAAAACACATACATTTTATTAATACTGGTATTTATATAACGTCAGGTAGGGTGAAACTGTATAGCTTAGACAGACCACAAATTAAAATTCCGTTAAAATGTCACCTTGACTTTAAATCATTTGGACGCCAAAGGTAAGTATGGCTGGATGTAATTCAGAGGAAGAGCTATGATTGCTTCCTTAATATACATCGTGCAGCACATTGCAATCAACAAAAGCTAATCATTTCATACAAGCATTCAAGTTCTGTCACTACATAAATTAGGCTGCTAAATACCTTTTAATTAATTAACTGCAGGACAGGTAGACAAATGTGAACTGTATTAAATATATAGAAGCTTTGCATAGAATATTTAAATTACTTAGCCTTACTTGGTCAACTTTATCCGGTTTGGCAAGGTTGTATGACTAAATACACTGGCATGAACGCTAGACCGCGAAAGTAAAAAAGAAGGCTGTTAAAAATGGGACCGTTTGTCGACAGGTCGGCGGTAATATTTAAATCTTGTTGGATGCAACTGGTACATCTGCTTTTCGACTTTAATAAATGGCGTTCCTAATACTAAGGATAGATAGCATAAATTAATGTAAATCGTTTAATAGTAATACATGGGGTATCCAGTGTAGACAATTTACTGAGTTAAAATAGTTAAAGTGAGTAAGGTCGTAATGGTGGCGAAAAATCACGGGATAGGAATGCGCTGAAAAATCGTTTAAGAAATGTAGCATTATTTTTGCTTGGTAACTGATTTGCAATGTTGCATGTATTGATACAGAAACTGTCTGTATTATAAGCTGAAAGGACTTTTACAATGCAGCAGTTGGAAGGGTGAGAGATCTATACGGAAGGGTAATTGCAGTTACGACGCACATGGACGACTTGAAATGCAACATTTTAAGGCAATTTAATTATTTTGTGTAATGCTAATGAACGGAGATGCGTAAATAATAAGTGTGGGACTTACGGATTATGCTTTGAAGATAGCCTGGAAGTAAATGTGATGTTGTGAAGCTGCCGAAATATGAAAGAAATAACAGTTATGACAAAGCCATCACTAGGCGCATGGTTTATAACATGCAGAATCACATGCAGAAATGTGAAAAGGAATAATGGCTGACTAACACCTTCTATTACACTATGGTTGCGCCTATAAATGGGTAATGTTAAATGAGGATGCACGGAATAGGGTTTGTTGTTTGCGTCAGTGTAGATGAATATTTGCAAGCGGTAACGTTGTTTACGTATGTATACGATGTATACGAAAGTCTATGCAAATAACAGTAAGTTAGTATGTGCTCAGATGCCAATGTACATAGGTAAGCGGAGTATGAGAGGGCGTACATGTAAAACATACATATATATATACACATGCATATATAATAATGTATATGTATATATATACGAAAGTAAATGTTAATATGTGTAGATGTATACATACAAATGGAGATGAAAGTATATGTGTATATGTATATATATGGTTGGCGGCATCCGGTTTCGGATTTGCCTGTCACTGTGGCCAACCACAGGACGCCTGTGCCTACAGAGGGACCATGGGTGGCTTGCGCTGCACCACCCATAGCTCCAACCACATACCCCATATCCAGTGTAAACCCGAAGGCATAAGATTTGGAGGCATGTGGATGGGAGCTACGTTTTATCAACGGAGCCGGCCCACACTCCGCGAGGAGGACCCTACCGTGCGGCCGCACTTTAACTCGTCTCTCGCTTTGCCCTCTGTGGCGACTCCAATTCTCCCCACACAATATTGTGCTTGCGCTCGTTCGAACCAGTTCGACGAGCTCTACTCTGTGCTTTCCATCTCCTGGATCTAACCTGTGTGGATTACACTCTTGCTCCAGTTCCCAGTTTTCGGCATATTCTTTGCCGAATTCCACTTGTGAAACTACATCAAACCGGTCTTTCGGAAAAGATTTTGGTCTCATTCGGAAGAAGAAGTTGTGGACTCCTCAACTACGCGGCAACCATCCCTGTAAGTTGCAGCATAACAAACTTACAGCCTTTTTGCTCCGCTCGTCAACTGAGCAGCCCTAGGGACGCTTATCAGCGCTCCACCTGCATCGTCGCTTAAGGCAGGCCGATTAACACACGCTGCCGCTTTGTGTGGGTGTGTTTGTCCCACTGCGAGTCGATTGATCGTTGAATCCGACAGTCTGCGCGTTACGACTTCCATCTGCCTCCGCCTGACCTTGGTTCGGTTGGACAACTATCCATTCGTGCGCGTGTTCTGACCTGTTCCTGCGTCACCCCTAGCGCAAAGTACACTTATCAAGGTGAGCGCTAAGATAGGCTTTGCATTCCAATGGTTCAACGTCGCCTATGTTGCGCAGACAACTGCAGTAAACTGCTTAAGATCAGTATCACCTGTTCTAGCTGCATTAGATCATACTGTCCGCAATGTGTAGGCAAATCTGTCCAAGAAGTGAGACAGACAAACCAAGTTGCTGACACAATTTGGTTTTGCCCAACATGTCAAGTCATTCCAGTGGTCAACTGCTTATCTTTGCTCATGAAAAAATGCGATAGGATGACTGAAATAATCGCGCAATTTGTAAATACTAAGATCCCTCCCCCGGAGGTAAATACGGCCACGATAATATCTCACCCGGCCAAAGTAAGCTCTGAGTCGAAACCGAAGAAAAGAGCTAGACGCTCCAACCGCACTGCAGCGTCTGTGACTCTAAATCCACTGGGTCACCTGACTCCCATAAGTGGGCAAGCCTCAAACATGTCTGCTTCCACTTCTCCAACCATAGAGGCTTCACTTGGAGATTCAGCCATGACACCGACAGCTCAGAGCCGTAGGAAATCCGGTGCAGATAACAAGCAGGTAACGTACGCATCGATTGCCTCGACAAACACACCGGGAGGGACACACATAGGTCCATCTTCAGTACCGAGCACGCGTGGTGCAAAGCAGCTTTCACCGTCCAATCCAGTGGTGTCCTCTAAACAACGCGAATTGCCGGCAAAAAGTATAAAGCCAACACTTGCTAGACAAAACCACGCTGCGTTAACTCTCGTGTGCACCAATGTTCCCGAATCCAAATCTGGAACAATAAAAGGCAAGTTGCAAGACGATCGCAACCAGTGGAGTTCCATCTGCGAGGCAATTAACATTCGGGTTGAGCCTGTAACTCTGCAACGCGTAGCGCGTCACCCGACCTCCGTGCACTCTGGTGAACCTCGAATTCTTCGAGTAACACTAAACTCAGCAGATGAGACAGAGGCTGTCCTGCTCTCAGCAGTTTGTCTTCGCAACTCACCGAGCGGAGTACGCATATTGCCTGATCTGCCTTGGAAAGATCGCCCAAAAGAAGCAGTTGACCAACGCGGCATTGCTAATAGAGATAGCAAGAAAACAATATTTGTTCATGGTGTTCCTGAGCTTCTGCATTCTTCTGATCACGATGCACAAACTCATGACCGAGAGCAGTGGTGCTACATCCGCGAAGCACTCTCTGTAGACAATGTTATTGCCAAATCCCTGACAAGAGTTCCGACATCACCTAACTACAAGGGCTGCGGTCCAAGGCTAATTAAAGTAATACTACACTCGGAGGGAATGACGCAAGTTCTGTTGGATAGCTGGTTAAAGTTTCGAGCTAGGTTGCCTACAGAGATCCGGCTAAAAGCAGCAGGCGAACGACCAAAAGTCGGAAGCAATTCAACGGAACTTACAAACGCAGCAAATTCCTTATCTGCACAGTCTTGCGGAGAGACCGACACAACAGCGCCCACGGCACACAGGAGGACCGAGCACAGCACCAGTGAAACTTCTGTACAGGGACGCTTAATAATGCCTTGCAACACGACTGAAATACATAAACCAAAAAACGATTAATTGCCGGCCACCTAACGGCCGGCTTAAAAGCGAACACAAACTTGACATCTACCAATGAACTCCTAAAAACAAAGGCCCTATCTTGCATGTACACAAACGCCCAAGGCCTTCTAAGCAAGTTGGCAGAACTTAGAGAACTCCATGCCTCACAACCGCGGGACCTCGTCATGATTACAGAGACATGGTTAAACCCTGAGATAACCGATTCTGAGATCAATTTACCCGGTATGTCACTGCTTCGGACCGATAGAACCGGAAGGGGGGGCGGTGTGATTCTTTATTATAATACAAACCTCCGATGTGAGGTTATCGACCACCCGGAAATCCGAGCTCCCGATTCGCTTTGGTGCCGCCTATGGTTGCGAAACAAGGACACATGCCTACTAGCCGTGATTTATCGCCCACCAAACTCAACTTCGGAAATGGACTCCAAACTGAACCACGTTTTCCAGTTTGCTTTGAACAAGTCCTACACCCACATTCTTATCGCGGGAGACTTTAACGTGCATGACATAGAAACGCCAGCAACCGACGGTATGCAGTTTAAAGCCTGCTTGCAAGAGCTTATTGCTAGCCACCCTCTGTACAACCACGTAACCTCCCCCACCAGATTTCGAACTGCTAACAAGCCGTCGATACTGGATCTTGTGCTCACTAACGAAGAACTCATGGTTAGCGGGATAATTACAAGCACACCACTGGGTCGTAGTGATCATGTTACTCTACTCTTTGACTATATTTGCTATGCGGAGTACCCTGAAAAGGAGGAGGATAAAGTGCATACTGTCACACACTACAATGTGTTGTCTAAGCTTGTTAAGGATACATCTTGGACTTTCTTAACCGAATGCCCACCAGATGTTGCCTGGGAAACATTTACAAGGACGTTTAGTACACTGGTAGCGCACGCATCAGAGCAGAAGTCCTTCCACCCTAAAAACAAGCGTAATTCATTTCTGAGGAGCAGGACACGTAAATGTATGTCCCGGAGGGATTTGGCATGGCGAGATCACCAGGACTGCCCGAATGCCGAAACCTGGACTGCATACGTGACCCATCGTAACTTCTGTGTGAAGCTGATCCGCGAAGACAAGGTCACTCATCAGCAGAAGTTAATGAAGCGATTCTGCACGAATCGCAAACTCCTGTACAGGCACGTTAACGGCCTTCGAAAGGTAAAGCGAGGGGTTTCAGCACTAGTCACGGCTGATGGGTGCACGCGATCAGCAATGGAAGCAGCTGATCTCCTACGGCTTCATTACTCCCGAACTTTCCAGGAGGCAACGAGCACAAACATTCCCCTCATTCCTACTACTCCACCATCTGGCTTAGAAAACATCACCTTCACTGCGGAAGCTGTGTTGAAGAAGTTGTTATGCTTGCGTATCCACAGTTCTCCTGGAGCTGACAACATCCGACCAAAGGCTCTCCAGGCAGTAGCTAGTGATCTAGCAGCACCACTGGCTATTTTCTATCAGCGATGTCTAGAGGAGAACCGTATTCCACCAGTATGGAAGCGAGGGGTCATCACTCCTATTCATAAAGGAGGTAGCCGCACTGATCCTGCCAACTACCGTCCAATAACACTACTTCCCGTACTATCCAAAGTGATGGAATCAATCGTCGCAGATGCGCTGATGGAATACCTGGAAAGCCACAATTTAATAGCCCCAGAGCAACATGGCTTTCGTCAAAAGCATTCGTGTAATACCAACCTATTAATTGCACGTAATAGCTGGACTGAAGCTGTTGATGATGGAGTAGGAGTCGATGTCATCTACCTAGACTTTTCAAAAGCATTTGATCGCTTAAACCATCGCATTCTCCTTCACAAGCTTCGGAATTACGGCATTGGCGACCCAATCCTGAGTTGGATTGACAATTTTCTACAAGAACGAAGGTTAGTGGTGAGAGTCCGAGAATCATTGTCTGATGCAATCGATGTGGCGTGCGGAGTACCACAAGGCTCGGTTCTTGGACCTCGTCTATTCTTGGTGTTCATTAACGATTTGGCGAGATCAATCACTTCCGATTTCCTATTTTTCGCTGATGATATCAAGATATGGCGAAGGATCAGAGGACCGGAAGACCATGAACGACTCCAGTGCGATCTTAACACAGTGTCGAACTGGTCACTTCAAAACGCCCTACCGTTCAATGTAGACAAATGTCGCGTCGTACAATTACGCCATCGTCATAACTATACCTATTCACTTGGGACCAAAGGACTGCAGAATAGCTCCCAGGAACGTGACCTAGGTGTGATCGTACAGAGCGACCTCAACTGTTCAAAACAGGCTGAGGTTGCTGCGAAAAGAGGCAACCAGCATGTCGGCATGTTGCGAAGAGCATTCGGAAGATTTGACCCATCAATCTTCCCAATGATGCACAATTCCTACGTGCGCCCGCATGTTGAATACGCTATCCAAGCTTGGCAACCTTGGTTGAAGCGGGACCTAGAAGCGATAGAGGCACCACAACGGAGAGCAACAAAAAATGTGAAGGGCCTGCGCTATCACTCTTACCACCGAAGGCTGAAGTTGCTGGGAATTTTCAGCGGGCGCTATCGAAGACTGCGCGGTGATCTCATATTAGCGTATCAAATATTGAGTGACCCCAACCACGTATGCCGCCATTTGCTGAAACTTAGCCACAACACGCAGCTCAGGGGTAACTGCTTAAAGTTGAAGGAACAATATAGCCGTCTAGAGTGTCGACGGAATTACTTTTCCCTTCGGGTTTGCAAACCTTGGAACGCACTCCCAGACTCAGTTGTATCCTCTCCTACCTTGGATGTTTTCAAAAAACGATTAGATGTTGCTCTTAGCTCCCAACATTTTGTTACCTAAACTCCCCTACTGTGGATTACGCCAAGGATGCATTACAACAGGATTTATGTATCAAACGGATCTAAGTGAGCGACCATATTTTACTTTGCTCACTCTTTACCTCAATGATCACTGCACCCCAGTGTCTTTCTGAACGTTTACGCTCGATAATTTATTTTAATTTTACACTGATGTTACTTATCAAACTATTCATCTCGGCAGACGTTCGGTAGATGACCCAGACATATTTTGATTTCATCATATTCACCTCAACCATCCTACGGGACGTGTCAAGCACTTGCTTTTATCCCGTGATAAATCATTGTTCATTGTTCATTGTTCATTGAACACAAACACGCTGTATTTGGGGAAATCAAGCGCATACAAGGCGGTGGCTTGACCGTAGTCCGCTCCACCCTTATGCATGGAACTGCTATATGAGCCTAGAACAGGCACAATGACCGTGCACCCCGTCCCCTCCAGCAACGATCAACTGTCTCCTGGAGCCAGTAAGAACGAGGTAGTGGGTAATAGACAGATAGGCACCTTGTCAACATGCACAACATGCGCAGCCACACCGGGGATATCAAGCAACAGCCATTCACTTCAAAGGAGAAGCTAAAATGAAATAAATCGGATAATGTATACAGATACGGTGGCATGACTCTTCCCTAAATTACCGTACGAATTAAGTTGGTTAGCAACGAATCCGCGATAAGTAAGAAATGTCCACAAGTTAACTACAAATGCTACAAACGCCACAAAATTACCGAAGATAAGCGCATTTCGCGTAGGCAAATTGGCCAGTTAAAAGAACATTACTCAGGTAGGCAGAACAAACCAAATAAGTTGGATGGAATTTATCCAGCTTAAAAAGACCTGGTTTAAGTGTAAGTTGGTTTAGCCGAACTGCGGTGAAGAAGCATCAGGAATGCAACATCAGCCTCAGCATGGGGCACATACATATACATTTACATATATATATACATATATATATGTATATCTAATTCTTTCATAACCAGTGGAAAACGTGCTCCAGATTTTGGGCAGTTTACAAGTATAACGGAGGTTATGAGTAGGTAGCTGGTTAAAATTATTCGCGTGACAGTGACCAAGAAGCTGATGGTGCGAGCACAGCGTTGGCAATGATAAATAATCCCAATCACTATATTGTTGGCGGCATCCGGTTTCCGATTAGCCTTGACTGTGGCCAGTCAAAGGACGGGCGCGCGTACAGAGGGACCATGGATGGTTTGCGCTGCACCACCCACAGTTCCATCCACACATCCCATATCCAGTGTAGACCCGAAGGAATAAGGCCGGGAGGCATGTGGATGGAAGACAAGCTTTATCAGTGGAGCCGGCTCACACTCCTTCACAGGCAAACACAAGCACGCTGTATTTGGGGAATCAAGCGCACACTAGTTGGTGGCTGGACCGTAGTCCACTCCACACTGCGTGCATGACAGGACTCTTCAAGCGTAGCACGACCACGAGGACCGTGCACCCCCTCCCCTCCATGATCGACCAACCGATAATTGGCACCAGTATGGACGAGGTAGTGGGTAATACATAGCCATGCACCTCGTCAACATGCACAACATGGCCAACCACACGGGGTATATCAAGCAACAGCCATTCACTTTAAACGATAAGCTGAAATAGAATAAATGCAAAAATGCATACAGATACCGTGCCAGAACTGTTCCCTAAATTAACAATGAAGTAAGTGGCTTACCGACGAATCCGCGATAAGTAATAAATGTCCACAATTTACTTTTAAATGCTGTAAACGCAACGAAAGCGCCGAAGATAAGGGTAATTAGCATAAGCATTGTGGCCAGTTTTGGGAATATTATTCAGGTATGCGGTAGAAACCAAATAAAGTGGAATAGAATTTATGTAGTCTTAAAAGAGGTAGTTAAATTGCAAGTTGGTTTAGCCCAAATGCGGTGAAGAAGCATTATATATATATATATATATATATATATATATAATCTTTCACCGACTGGGCCATTACGCACAGGCATGTTAGTGTCTGTAGGACGGATTGCGGTCTGGCCAACAGACACGCCAGTGACCGATGGAGCCCGCTGTGGAAAGCCTATTGCCGATGGGTACGTTGGCTCTTTCGAAGGAGGTGGATGGGTACCCGCTTGCTTGGAAGAACCGAAGGAGTTTCGTCCTAGGGAACGTTTCTTCCGTTTTGTGGCTCACGCGGCCTCTCAGATGCACAGTACCTCGGCATTTCTTTGCACCATATTTGACCGAAGTCATGCAGAATGTTGCGCAGTAGTTTAATATGATAAGCGTTGATGGCTTCTATGCCATTCATTAACAGGCATAACAATTTGCATTCACTGAGTACTGACGGAGTAGGGCATGTGGAATCCAGGACATGTTTGTGGTTCTGTCTGAAAGAGAGTACATATACATAAAGATGTATATTTACATAAATATGTATATATATGTCTGTATATATATGTACTTGTCCTGCAGAGAAGGTAAGCGGAACCAAAGCGCTGTCGGCATCAAAGAGTGGTTTATGCACTGATTGTGGAGCGGACTACGGTGCAAGCACTGCCTTATGTGCGTTTTATTCCCCGAAATGCAGCGTGTTTGCCTTCGTTGTGAAGGGGTGTTGGCCGCCGTTGATGGAAGGTGCCTCACATGCACATGCCTCGTGGTGTTATTCCCTCTGGTGTACACTGCATATGGGGTGTGGACGGAGCTGTGGGTGGTGCAGCACAAGCCACCCATGGTCACTCAGCAGGCGCAGGCGTCCTGTGCCTTGCCACAGTGACAGGCAAAAGGGAACCGGAATGCCGTCAACCATATATATGTATACGTGCCTATACATGTAGGTGTGTTTCACTTTATATGCCAAGTATGTGGATGTGTATATATATATATATATTTTATTGTTTGTGTACAGGTATATGGCTACAAAGGGATATATATACTTAGTTAAAGAAAGGTATGTATATGTGAATATATATATGTGCAGGTGAAGAATTCTTGCATGTATAAATGTAGGGATTCCGTGGCATGAATGTGTAATAGAGGTTCGCATGTGAAAAAGCGGTTAATTTCTGTATGCATTCGTCGGGACTTATGTTAGCCGGTAAACTAGAGAACTGGGGGAATATGCCGGGGTGCACGGTTCTACAGCAACAGATGGCATATGGCGGTAATGTGCTCATGGGAACCAACTGTGTTGCACGAGCGTTTTTGATAATTCTGTGTTTTGCCATTGTCACGGCTCCGCATACAGCATTGCGGACGGGCTGTGGTTGCAATGCATAAACTTATCGGTTTACTGCATTCACGTCCAATATTTTTCACAGCCGTCATATATTACCCAACATGGTGGTTGTTTTGTAATAAGGCTATTTGCTACGGAAACAACCATAAAGGGTAAGGTTATAGGTGAGAAGCGGCGGTGGCTGTACATGGTTCGTTACATAGGCAAACCAGATGCAATGAACGTGACGGACGTTTGGACCATTTAGAAACATTCATCACTAATTGAGTGAGCGTGTACGTTGCTCTGAACCCACCAGGGGTAAACACTGAGAAATGGTTTCGGAAGCCTCATCAGAGGCCACGTTGAAGATACAAAAGCAATATGAACCGGACATTCGATAAAAGAGCACGTAAGGCAGTATAATTATGTAATATTGTTAAAAAGGAATGTGACATGATAACATGTCTTGAAATAAACGGTGATGAACATACCCATGGATTTGTACGTTACTCCGGAAACGAAGAGACGTTCAGCGTAGTCATGCATACGAAGGGAATATGCGCTCGTTTTGAAAGCCAGGTGTTACAGATTCACACACCAACCTAACGTCCTAAGCAGCATTTCGGCAGTGGCACATGTAAATTGGAGGCATACCAGCAGTGCCTGATCACTGAATTAGGCACCAGGAATGGACAGCGGTTCTGAAAGCAAAATGGAACAAGCAATGCACTTACCAGAGGTGCAACGGCGTATATACGCGGCAGCACATGTTACATGCAGGGAAGCTAGTAGTACCTCATCATTCCAGGCATCTATTAATATTCCATACCCTTACGGGATGTGCAACGGAGTAGATGTGGGCGAGACGTGTGATGTCGTGGCAGAGCGGTAATTGCGCATCACCAATTTAGAAATGACGGATAGACTGCCGTAGCAAAAGCCGCATTAGGGCTCACAGTACGGTTACCGTAGGTGAAAGGAGGTACGTAGCGGCGGCAACCGTGATGTAGATGCTGACCACTAGGGGCAGATCAGTCATGCAGGCAGCACGGAAAAGAGGCAACCAGCATGTCGGCATGTTGCGAAGAGCATTCGGAAGATTTGACCCATCAATCGTCCCAATGATGCACAATCCCTACGTGCTCCCGCATGTTGAATACGCTATCCAAGATTGGCAACCTTGGTTGAAGCGGGACCTAGAAGCGATAGAGGCACCACAACGGAGAGCAACAAAAATGTGAAGGGCCTGCGCTATTATTCTTACCACCGAAGGCTGAAGTTGCTGGGAATTTTCAGCGGGCGCTATCGAAGACTGCGCGGTGATCTCATATTAGCGTATCAAATATTGAGTGACCCCAACCACGTATGCCGCCATTTGCTGAAACTTAGCCACAACACGCAGCTCAGGGGTAACTGCTTAAAGTTGAAGAAACAATATAGCCGTCTAGAGTGTCGACGGAATTACTTTTCCCTTCCGGTTTGCAAACCTTGGAACGCACTCCCAGACTCAGTTGTATCCTCTCCTACCTTGGATGTTTTCAAAAAAACGACTAGATGTTGCTCTTAGCTCCCAACATTTTGTTACCTAAACTCCCCTACTGTGGATTACGCCAAGGATACATTACAACAGGATTTATGTATCAAACGGATCTAAGTGAGCGACCATATTTTATTTTGCTCACTCTTTACCTCAATGATCACTGCACCCCAGTGTATTTCTGAACGTTTGCGCTCGATAATTTATTTTAATTTTACACTGATGTTACTTATCAAACTATTCATCTCGGCAGACGTTCGGTAGATGACCCCGACATATTTTGATTTCATCATATTCACCTCAACCATCCTACGGGACGTGTCAAGCACTTGCTTTTACCCCGTGATAAATCTTTGTTCATTGTTCATTGTTCATTGAACACAAACACACTGTATTTGGGGAAATCAAGCGCATACAAGGCGGTGGCTTAACCGTAGTCCGCTCCACCCTTATGCATGGAACTGCTATATGAGCCTAGAACAGGCACAATGACCGTGCACCCCGTCCCCTCCAGCAACGATCAACTGTCTCCTGGAGCCAGTAAGAACGAGGTAGT